ACATGTACTACGCGTTAATTCGATTTTTACGCGTCAAAAAAAAACATCACAAAGCTATATAAGGACGTCTTTTTTCCCTCTTGCTACTTCATTATTTTCATCACTTTCCTCAATAATATATAATACATGAAATCTAGAACAGAAATACAACCTGGATGGAAACACGAACACGAATACTTAGACGGAACGGAAATACTCAAGCACGAACATACATACTCGGACGGAAACGGCTTTAATGGAAATACTTGGATGTGGATATATAAACAGGTATACTCGAACTCTAGAGTATAAATTGAGTTAAAGCTACCTTGATGAAACGCGAAAGTGTTAATGATTCAAGGGGAACAACCTACTCACTTTACCGGGAACCGAGCCACGACTAGTACCGGTAAAGTGAGAGATTGGTTGGGGTTTACCTTCCCAACCAATGAGATATACCTTTTCGTGGTGGTTGGAATAAGTAGGAGATATATTCTCCGAAACTAAATATCTCAATATTTAGTTTAGTTTTTTTTATGTAAATTTAATAAATATGTATTTATAATTGTAATAAATTTAATAAAGTTAATAAAGTTAATTAAATTAATATTAAAAATGAATAATAAAAATTTTTTAAGTGTAAATTTTTAAAAATGAATTAAAAAAATTATTCGTTAATAAATAAAGTTAATAAATTTATAAAGTTAATAAAATTAATAAAACTTAATATTAAAATTAACATTAAAAGTAAATAATAAAAATTTTTTATATATAAATTTTAAAAGTAAATTAAAAAAATTATTGTGAAATGTAAATCAAATAAAAATTAGTTGTCATTAATGTTTTGTCAAGTATTATATCGTTACTAATACTAGTGCTGTTTTTGTTGGTGTTTTCTGGTATTACTGTTAATATCATGTTTGTTACGTATTGCTTTTGTTTAGTCGTTGAAATTGAGTTGTTCAATTTTTATAATCAAGTATATTATGCTTTTTAGCTAAAATTTATTGACTTTTTGTAGTATTTAGGCTACGCTAGGATGGTTAACTGATTTTTTGGGCAACGCTAAGGCAAGGTAATTACTTATTACGTAAACAGTTAAACCACATAGCATGTTATTAGTTTGCATATATTATTACGTAGTAAAATGTGATTTGATTTTTTACGTAATAAGTAATTACCCTAGCTAGGTACTTGAACTTCCGGACTTTTTTATTTACAATAATTATTTCACATTTGTTATGTTCTTTTTCATCACCTTAAATATTGCACACTAATATTATTATCATAATAAAAATTTTTCCAATTTAAATTATTCGCTTATCCGTTTTTTTAAATTTTATATGATTAATTGTTTAAAAATCGTTTAATACTTCATCTGGAGGCAAAAAAATACGCATGTAGTGTACACATCTATTTAATAATCACAGGATAAATGTGCATCGCTAGTATAAGGTAAGTTTTATTGAAAAAACAGGCCGTATAAACTTATATAATCCCGGTAACTTGTAAAAGTTCGTCACTTTGTAGTGTCGATTTAAAAATTTCATTATGAACAAGTTGTTTTAAAAAGTACAGGGTAATTAATAAGTAATTCGACTTATAATTGATCGGTAAAACGCTCAATAAACGTTTAAATGATTGATAAGCGTTAAACGGATGAACGATTAAACGATTAATAATGGTCAAACGGATAAACTAACCGATCAAACAATTAATGAAGGTCAAATTATTAATCAACGGTATAAAGCATTTAGAATACGTAACGGTAAGATATGGGCATTAGTACAGGTTTATTTTTACTACTAGGAAATCAGAAACTGATAAAGGACCGAAGCAAAAAATAAAGCGTTTCAATCTGTAACAGATTTCTAAATAAAATCTATGTTCATGAACTAAATTGGACGTTAATAGAATAAATGACATTAAGTAGAATATATGCTCACTATTTCTTGTTATTTTTTTTATTTATTGTAAGAACAGTATATTGTAATAGAAAATAAAAACAAATCACAATAATTTGTATGATGAAACAAATTTCAAGTTTATTACATATCGATATGCTAGGTAGCCTACGTACATAATCTACATATTATCTCTTTTGGCACCATACAACGAATTTAGAAAATTTTTCATTGAAAAATTTTTTGCATTAGCTATTATAAAATTGATTAATTCAATTTTGGAATAGTTTTGTATATAAAAGGTTAAGCAACATTGGAATATATTTGAATATCGATTTTTTTTTTAATATATTTTTAGCAGGTCCATGCTTTTTTTACTGTATAATCCCGTCAAAGCAGGCCAAAAATGTAATTGAACGAATTTCCATAAATTGTATCGTTTCTATTGACTCAATGAGCAAAAACCCTTTCAGACCCTACATCAAAGTGTATCAGGAGTATGATACGTAGTTGTATATAACAGCCTTGGTTTTACTATTAAAGGCATTGTTATAGATTTACATTAATAAAAAAAATATATATGGCAAAACGATTATGTGGATATTCTAAAAATAATTTAAGAGGTAGTTCGCAGTTAAAAGGTATAATCATTACTAAGTATCATAGTCGGGAACTTATAATTTTTTTTATAGTAGTGAAATGCCGATTCATTACAGTGGAAAGTATTATTATTTTTTTTTTTTTACTAAGTAAACATCTTTTGAATCTTTAATTAAAGTTGTTAACGTGTTATTACGATTCTAATGATAATAAAATCATTAAAATCGGTTGTGTAAATCATAAAATATTATGATTTTTTTTCTTTTTTACTATATGGTTTTTTCTTATTGTCAGAAATGTTCGGCATTCCATCCCTATATGAAAGTTATAGTAAAATGCCCATCGTATTCTATACCCTTTAACTGCTTATTAACTGCTTAACATCTACTTGAAAAAAAAATCCATTAACATATAATGCTGATCATCAAGGGTCGATAATAACCGGCTGAATTATTTTGGTCATTGGCCAGAGTTATTCTAATATTGATTGACTGAATTAAATGGTCAATACATTAAACACGATTTAAAGATTAGAAAAAATTTTAGGACAGCACCAGTCCCTAACGCTAATGCTAACTTTCTCCACATATTCGATTAAGCTAATCTTAACCGGATTAAAAACCTATTTGCTATCATGACATATATATTTGTTATTTTGAAATGCATGTGAATTATGGAATTCAGCGATCACACCTAAAAACAAACTTATTACATAACTTATTAATACCTGGATCGATTATACGTATGAAATGTTAGTAATATTGATCTTGATATAGTGATCGGGAAATTAAGAGATTAAAATAAAAGTAAGTACGTACATTACTTGAGCCCAACAAACTTTATATTACACTTGATTTTTAAAAGTTGTTTGAATATCTCATATCGATATTTAATCTTATTGCAATAAAAATGAACATCCTACAGTTTAGCGTTAAGCTATGACAGTGCACTCGTGTAACAACATGTGAGTATGTATGCACAAATTAACTTTGCTTCGGTTATATACTTTATAGCGAATTCCGATATAAACATATCAAACAAGGAAATATATGCACATCTTGTCAAAACTCGCATGGTGATAGGTAAATTTTTCATGCTTAATTTTTTAAATGTTTCTGAATTAGAATTCCCTTGTAAAACTAACGAACCGCAGATAGTATGATTTTCTGAGGAGACGGAAAGCCCCCGAACACAACACATAAACTTATTTAGAAATCTTTGCTATAAATAAAATGTTTACACAAGGGACATTATGTTCATCATCTAATTTCCGTCAAAGGACCAGCACCTCTTTCCCAAAAAGTTATTACCAAAATAACTAACTAAACATTATATCAATCTGCATGACTAATTCCTAAAAGTAAGATGTACGTACGGCGTTCTTTTTTATTGTGTTTTCCTAATTTTTATTCTCTCAACAATTGAACCTGTCAGTATAATTCTTCCTTCATACATATTTTTAGCATATTTAGTAAGTAATAATTCTTCATAATATTGTCAATTATTTATTTATATTATCATTATCCTTTTTTTTTTAAAAAAACATGCGAAACCATGTGTAATCAATTTTAACAAAATAAGTCATGATTTTCACAAGATTTAATGATTATGTATTATTTTATACGTAATAAATTGTACAGCCATTTATCCGAAATTTTTTGCTTTTTTCAACATTCCAGGTCATTATTGCTATAATATAATTTGAAAGTTTATTTTTTTTTGCTTCTTGTATAAGAAAAAAAATAATACCCACCTTGATTTCAGGTTTTTTTTTCCCTTTTGCATCACATTTCTCTGCAATAATCCTACAGGTTGTATTACAAAACTTTAAAAAAAAAAATGACTCGTTCTCCATCGTCACTTGGTCTTTCAAAAAATCCTAGAAAGTCTACAAAATCTTCAAAATCTTCAAAATCCTCTGTTACATCTTCCTCAAGTCCTCCAAGGTGTCACAGTCCAAAACCTTTAAGATCTTCTACGATCTCTCTTCACAATATGGATCGTGATTTAAATGATGTACTTCGAAATTTTGTTGATGAATTATGTGATATTTTTGTAAAGGCTAGGCAAGATGGAAAAAATGAAGCTCAAACCGTTGACATTATCCTTGATTATTTCTCTTCAAAAAATCTTGATTATACTCAAGTTTTTGATTGGCTTTTAAATAATACTCATAAAGATAAATATAAAACTATTTTGGGTTATTTTTATGATCAAGGTATAGCAACAAATCGAAATCAAAGAAAGGCTTATTGTTTATATTTATCTGCTGCTAAAAAAGGTTATTCAATTGCTGAAGACTTACTTGGTGATTGTTATTATTCTGGTCAAGGAACTACTAGAGATCGTGATATGGCTTTTGAGTGGTATCAAAAAGCTGCTGATAATGGAAGTACTGGCTCTCAATTTAGTTTAGGAATTTGTTATGCTTTTGGTGAAGGTACTTTAAAAGATGTTAATAGGGCTTTTCAATGTTATAAAAAGTCGGCAAATAGTGGTAATGTTAGTGGAATGAATGAATTGGGTTATTGTTATGAAGTTGGAATAGGAACAAAAAAAGATTATAAAAAAGCCTTTTTATTATTTGAGCAAGCTGCTAAGGGTGGAAATCCTCCCGGTCAGCATAACCTTGCTTCGTGTTACGAAGAAGGAAAAGGAACTGATGAAGATCTTGATAAGGCTATTTATTGGTATCAAATGTCTGCTAAAAATGGTCACGAGATTGCGCAACGACGCGTACAAAGTCTTTTAAACTTGATGTCTCGTAAGCCTCATGTTGAAGACACGCTATCAAAAGGTGTTGATATGGGTATGTGTTTTATATAATCCTTAACTCGCTCTATATATATATATTAATTTTATATATCGTATATCTTAATTTTATGTTATAGATTTATTAACCAATCATATTGGTAAAGTAAAGTAAGTGCATCAATTTTTTTCTTTAAACTTTTTATCGACTATCTAAATCTTTTTTTTTTTGTTAACAGTTTGAACGCTTAATCGATTGTTAATGTTTAATAATTTCATGATATTCGAATTAAACATAAACTCGACCTTAATTTTTTTGTTCTATTTCGGCTATAATGTAATTTTTTGTCGGATAAAACTTGGACAATCGTTTTTTTTTAACCTAAAACTTTTTCTACTCTTTCTTTTTTTTTTATTTAATTGTCTTTTTAATATTTTGTCTCTTTAACCTTTCTTTTTATCTTGTTTTATAATTGCACTTTTTTCATTTTAATGCACATTCTTCGCACGCGTTCGTTATTTGTGTTTATATAAATTTCATTTGTCTTGTTTCGAGAAATTTTGTATAATAAATGTCATTTAACATTGTATATATATTCTTTTGTTCGCGTTTCTTTTTTTTTTTTTGCTGTCTTGTAAGTGTTTATAATGCCAGTAGACGCGAAAATTTTACTAATAAACATGGTTACACCGCAGTAATAAGTCCACATGTACGTACTTAATTCCGCACATACGATATAACTGAGACAAAGATTTGGTAAGTAAAAATTGTCGAAATGATGCTAAGTACATGAATATGTTAAATCGATGACGATATGCTATAATTGAAGAAAATGATGAAGCGAGCTTTATTACGTCCTAAGAATATATGTAAACATATACTGTATATAGGGTAAAAATAAACGTACATTGATTAAAAATGAAAATATATTAAGGATCCGGACCTTTTGCTATAAAGTTAAACTTTCCGTGATTATTCAATTGAATTTACACAATTTAAAAAATTAATTTCCTCAAATCAACATCAATTTAATAAATAATAATGATTTTTTTTTACGGATACAGTATTTTTCTAAAAATTCCGTAATTCAATTCATTATCAAATAGTATTTCAATGGCTTGATCCGGAAATAAAATTTTTACCACTGGTGCTGATCCAAAAAAATTGTTTAGGAATGAAAATGACACCATTTTAAATCTAATTTATTTTAACTGATTTTTATTAGAAATTTTGAATTTAGATTAGTTTGAAGGTTTTACTTTTAAAAATAGATTAATTGTTGTTCTACCCCTATTCTTGGAATTGATTTATGGGTTTAAAAGTAGACTATTAATTCTTTTATTAAGCCTTTAAAGCTAGTTCTACTAATTAAACAATAAAACTTCAAGAGTCTTACTTCCTGAGACTAACTTTGCCTAAACCAAAAGATGAAGTAACTAAGTTAAAAAATTAAAGTTAAATAATGAATTAACGGATTTAAATATTCAATAATTTTATTGTAAAATATTCGTTATCATCTACAAAACATGTTCAAGTTTAAAAATATATTGATACATCTACGAAATATCTTCAAAAAAAAGCACCAATACATATTATGTAATAATGTATTATCGTCATGGAAATAACAAAATAACAATAAATTTACAAATTTCACAAATTTGTATATTTAATTGTTTATAAAATAAGATAAAATAAGATAGTTACACGTAGTTATTCATAAACAAACAATGTCGTGGGATTTCTAGTTAACCCACTTATATAAATTCTATCCCTAAAGTTGGCCACTAGCCTTATTTTTTCGGTGCGTCCAGAGATATACCCATATATTATAACTCACTAGTACAATCTCTAGCAAAACCTCTACTACAATTAACTCAGTACAAGTAATAATAGATAAACTGGCAATTATTTTGTTTTACGAAGTTGGATCTATCACAAGTTAAATAAGCATCACAGCACCTACTAACATAACAAAGGTGGAAACAGGCATCCACTGAAGAACCTTGAAGACAAACAATAATTTGCGCTTCGCCAACCGATTTATTAAGATTAAAAAATCATAAATTATTAAAAGAGAAATAAGTAAATTTATTACATGTTTTTTTAAAAAAAACCAAATTATTTGAGGTCAAATTAGAATGACTTTCTTTACTAGAAAGAAATTTATCATTTTTTGAAAGCATGTTATAAATAAACATGTAAATAATTATGTTGCATTACTAGAATGCATGATGATAAGAGTAGCGTTACGTAGCGTTACGTATCGTTACGTAGTAGATACATGGGCATTGTTTTAAAATCGCGCCCAAAGTAGTATTTGAAATAACGCCAATGCGCGTCCGAAATAACAAACGCTCATAATAATTCAGTTCGTGTTTTTTTCTTTTTTAACTTTTCATAATAAAGTACTTGCGCGTGATATCTTCGTGATTATTACATGCAGACGATTTTTAATCAATCGTGATTGATTGACTAATACATTATCGCCGCAGAATTAGAAAAATCGATGTGTTGTTACAAAACAACGCCCATGAGCGTACTCAAAATAATGCACGGATACCACCATTATTTAAGGTATTTGAAAAACTCGTGTCAGCAATCAATTTCTCGGATACCATTATTTGCAATTCTTTCTCAATAATGTATACATAATATATAAATTTCGCAAGTAATAGTCCATAATTTATTTGGAATATTACCATTTAGCGAATAGGTCGTATGTTAATTATTAGTGAAAACCGTTGTAAATAAAGTCGAACGAACCATTTGCATCTCTAATATTAGCGAGATCCATTCCTGTGTTATACAATTTGATAAAGTTTCTTTGAACGAGCAATAATAATTTAAAATTTTGATATAAATTAATAAATCTGTTCATTGTAGAATAATCACAAATTAAATAAAAGTTGTTGTTCAATTTCTAATAAACATATTTGTTTACTTCTATCGAGATTCAAATAAGTATATGTACTTTTTTTATATTGCATAATGATGCTTTTTTTTCTTAAAAAAGAAATCAAATATATATATATATATATTTTGGTTTAAATAAAATTTATAATATACTATGTGTATGAAAAAATTATAATAATCAATTATCGATTTAAATTGTTTGTTTTAAAATTATTTTGTCTATATGAGCCACCCAGATCAGCAATGAATTATATCTCGTATTACCAAAGAAAGCAGTGCTAGAATAAATACAACTAAATTTTTAAAATGTTATTTATCTTTTTCTAATTCAAAGGTAGTTTGATAATATTGGCCATTAGTTTTGTTTTTTGCGAAGGCAGTAATTTCCATTTTTCCAAAACAAAGTCCAAAAAGGATAGATCTTTTAAGACCAAGATGGACGTCTGGAAGATCAATTCGAAGTTTTCCAAGAAGTTTCATACCAAGCTCGTCACAATATTTGAATTCAGATTCTTGAGTACAAAATATTTCAAAAGTTATAGCTACTTGATCTTTTTTTAAAGGCAAACAACTAAAAGTAAACTCTTGATCTACAGATACTTCGTTCCCCTTCGATGCTAATGGATGAAATTTATCAATATATCCATCATAGCTTTTTCTGTTTTTTGGATCACCTTCCTTCCACTTCATGGATTTTTTGATTCCATACGTGTATTTAAGTACTCTAGTTTTGACGACAAATTTATCCCAATTCAAAGCTACACCGTTAGCAGTATTTTTCATACTGAGACCATAATATACAGCCCCACGACATATGCTAGCAATCGGCTGAACAGGAACTGAAATAGAATTAACCCGCTTTTGACATTCTTCTTTAATTCTTGATTGTAAATATTTAGATTGACTGAATCCTCCAACCAAAAATAACATGGAACATTTATCATTAGAATTATCTAATTGTACTTTTATCATATTGATAATCCTATTAACAACAGGATCAAACATATTCTTGACAATCATATAATCTAATTCAATTATCCAATCATTTTCCTCTAGCATATTTTTCGCATCACCCGTTACATATTGTTTGATCACAGGACAAACCTCTAATAACAAATGTTATATATTAGTGTTAGATTATTTTCTATTCTCTAGTTTAATGACTTGTAAAAACGTATAATTATGTTTAAATAATAATACCTCCAAGATCTAAGTCATATGAAAAGTTAGGATCTTTACCATCAAATGGAAACTTGACATTTTTACAAAATTCTTGAACCATATATTGCATTTGACCATAATGACTCGTTTCAATCATATTTAATGGAAATTCACCAAGTCTTCTTTTAAGAAAATTGATGAATTCACGATCTATCCAAGCACTTCCACAAAAATCTCCAGCACGCTCAGTAACTTCACCCAATTGGTTATTATTATATAACCTACGAGTTGTAAGATCTACAGTTCCACCACCTGCATCTACAATACAAAAGATTGCTACGTGCATCATATCGAATAGGTTGTACGTACGTAAGTAATCAACATATCATATTAAGTGTAACATACAGAGATTATCTCAAGAGTATACATACTATGATCGATTCTATTATCTGCATTGGCAACAAAAGCAGATTCTTTAAGACAATGTTTCATACAGTAAATAGCAGCAGCTTCGGCTAAATTAAAAAGAAATCAAGTTCAAGCTTTGATATATGAAAAATAAGATTCTGTAATATTAAAACATACGTTCTGTGGTGAATTGTAGTTTTTCTGAATCAATTTCACCGGTTAAACCAGCATTGAATACACATTCACGCATTATATTGCGTGATCGATGAGAGTATTCAGCAGGAATTGTCATAATAAGCAATACATTCTTATGAAATTCAATGCTTGGCCAAGAAGTTGTAATTGTATCTTTTATCAACTTTGAAGACAAAATATTTATAAAATTTAATCACTACAATTTACAAGTTATAATCATAATGGTTTTTATGCAACAAACCTTTCCTATTTCTCGAAGATAATCAGTGATTGCTTTTTTATAGTCCACAGGAAGTTTAGGTTTCATATCTTCAAACAGATTACCCAGATGGAGTTTAAATAATTCTACAGGTTTGAACTCATATTGAGAACCCTTCCTTCGCTTAGGTCGCTTTGCAAGCGCAGGAAAGCCCCAAGATTCAATATTATTAGATTGATCGTCATATTGTAATACAGTATTAGTCTTGAGACGACCTATTTCTCCTGGCCATGTCTCATTAGTACAAAGTTGTTCATTTTCATGAGTATGAATAAAAGCGAAACCCTGGTAATTATAGAATTCCTGATATAAGTATGAGGAAATATATAGACATGAGAATAAAGGGCATGTTTTTTTTTCATACAGAATAAGTAGTCCCAAAATCTAGATGCGTAATTATAAAAAAGTTAGTCATGCGCAATGAATTTGTAATAAGTCATACGTAGTCATACAAATTCGCACGCGTAAATATAGCATATACCTAGTCCCACGATAACACGTATATCATCACTTTTATACATCGTTATCAAAATTAATAAAATAAAACAATCTGAAACATTCAATATTGTCGAAAAGTCGGGTCTTTATATAGCATGCATTCAACACTTAAGTAACAATTAAGAGATTTAGGAGAATGTCGGAAAAGTAAAATTCATAAATCGCTTATATAAGGACCAATTTAACTATATTTAGTAAAGATTATTATTGAACAGATTCGAGTAACAGAACAACGAAATTGTTTGTAAGTAACGGTAATTGCATATTTTTAAACAAAACGGTTTCCTGTTATATGCACTGAATATAAAAAAACAGATGTGATACACATCGGTATTAGTTATTTGTGATCCCATCTACTGCGCCATATGAAACTTTTCTATCGGGTTTATGCGATACCTGTTTTCCCTAAAATTTTATATCACGATTTCATCCGTATTGTTTCGGAAAGTTTATCCGATATATACGTATAAGACAAAGTATAATGTTCTAATGGCGATCGACTCTGGATATAACAAACCATTCTGTGACGAACACACCATACATATAACTTTTTTCCCAAATTTATAAGACTATTATACATATTAAACTATATAAAGAACTTTCGATGAATTTTTGGTTTTTTTCATAAGAATCGCTAGTGATATCCATATAAAATTTTGTCAATCACTTCAATTTAGGTCTTCGGGCAAAATCTAGACACATTAAAATCCCTATTCGTGACGATAGAAATTTCCTTGTTTGTCGACATCAAATAAATAAGTATCTAACTATATTGGCGGCGTACGACTTGGTCGAACAGATAACTTTTCATTTATCCTTGAATAATTCCTATTCTTTATTGTACCTTTATTAATCTTCTAATCTTTCCTTTTACGAGTTTCGGATTCAACAATACAATTCCCTTTTTCGACTACGTGATTTAGCAGAATCAAACCTAGAATTCCTCTAACACGTGATGGTGTGACTAGACTATAAAGTGTGTCATTTTTTACATCATATAGATGACGTCCAACTCATCTTTTTACTGAAAAATGGGTTATACAAGAAATGTTCTAGTAAATGACGCACTTTTATAGTCTAATCAACACTCAAATTACACAAATGCGTCATAATGGACAATGAATAAAGTCACGACCTTAATTCAAAACAAATGTTCAACACTTATTTATATGATTCTTTGAAAATTCGTGCATCATCGCTAATTCTTTTCATGTTCAAAAAGTGATTATTATTAATTTTGATAATTCTTATCGTTATATGTTGTGTCAGATTAGTGCTAAATAACTAGATGTTAGAAAATCGTACTTTATGAGAATAAATAGTTTCCCGAAATTTGTTAGGAAAATTTGTTTTTGTATTCTAAATAACGCGCAGGCGACCGTTATTTCGGGAAAATACGGTACTGATATGTGACCTAATTTAAACTGGAGATTTTTATCATTACGTAAAGACATCAGCACTGAAAATTGATTAATTCATAGTTTAATAACTCTTGTCTAAAATATGGGTAAATACACAACAAAGAGGTTCTATCGAAAATTGTGATTTATTGTGTTGCATTCCCAAAGCACACTTTATCCGTAGATATTTACTAATATATTATAATTTTATACAGTCTTGTGCTGTTAAAAATGACACATATTTTTATATTTGTGTTCCCAAAATACCAGAGTATTAATCATACAATATTTAAAATCTGTCAAGGCGTCAATTTAAATTTGCATAAACTATATTTTTACTGAAAAAAACAAAGATCAAAATATCTATTTAATTTATTTCAATAGTTGCAACTTTAAATATACATTCTAAAGCAAAAACCAAACTACAAATTTGATAAAAATTAATTCTATCTATCTATACATGTTTATAATAAAAATAAAGATTTTTTTTGTGAATTGAGATGTATTTTATTAATAGCATTACAAATAAGCAAAATTTTAACATTCATTATATTTACCTTAAAATATAGTTACAACCCTGTTGCTACGTTTACCATAGCAGGGATAAGTATTTTTCGCTTTTTTTCATCATCCAAATTAATACCTATTAACGGGAATGAACAAATCTGTACCACATCTTGACAATCATGCTCAAATGTTCCTTGCATTAATTCTGGATCCACTTGATCATTGTGTTTAAACCAGCGAGGCGGATCAGCTTCAGGTTCTTGAACTTTTAGTCGGAAAAAGAAAATTCTAACAACATCACGAATAATATTTGCTGCCATACTATTTAATTTGGTTAGTTTGTTAGGATCATTTATTATTCGAACACTGTTCATCTTTTCAATCAGTTGTCGTTGTGTATCATTAATGAACGGGTGTTCTACAATTTTATCTTCCGATATAACTTTGGAAAATCCGCGGTTTCCAAGAACTGCGTAGATTTGCTGGCGGAGTTTGATGGGTAATGCTCTGGTTACATCATCATCTCCTTCCCGGAATTTAGCAAAATCTTTCATTTTAACTAGTAAATTCTCTGTTTCAAATACAATACAAGTTTCGAGTAATTCCCCTTTTGTATTTTCATCCTTAAAATATTTACGAGTTGAATCTAAGATTGTTTCAAGAACAAATCGTTGAAGTGCAGCTTTGAGAAGCGACTTAAAGTTTTCTTCATCCGTGAATTCAGAACATTCGTATTTTTGTAAAATATTCATTGCTTCTGTCTTATTAATATCTACACTAGGTTTAACTATGCAGAAATCTTTTAGAGTTTGTTGCAGAGATGTAATATCATCTCTAAGCTGAACTGAATTATTACGATCGTCATCACTCAATCGAAAATTGGTTGCTCTTCCCAAGGCAGATTGATGTCTTGATGCCTCATTTTTCAAATCTTCAATCACTTTATGAAGTCTTAATATTTCATTATCTTTTTCTTCACGAAGCTTTGATATTTCATTATCATTTTCATCACGAAGCCTTGATATTTCGCTATCTTTTACTTTTAGAGTTGTACGAAAACTTAATATTTCGTTATCTTTTACTTTGATTTCATGAGATAATTGTTCCTTTGACTTCGTATTATTTCTATTCTGATTTATTTGCTTTTTTTGTTCGTTTGTATGATCTTTATTATGCGTGGAAACTGATGTTCCACTTCCAGTTGAAGGTGTGTTAAGGTCCAGATATTCTTGTGTAGAATTGATCCTTGTGACGAAATCTTGTTCATATAACTCATTATTTCCTGCTCGTGAAATTAAGAATTAAGAAGCTATTATTAGGTTATCTTTTATTTTATATATATATTTTTTTTTTGACGATTTTTTTTTTAATTAATTGTTACCATTTTGTTTATTTTGCTGATTATTGGTATTTTTCGTACCGAAATTAAACGTAAAGAACTTTTCAAAAAAATTTGTCATATAGATTGATTATGCTATGAAAAGTCCTGATATCGTTATACTTATCTTTTTTTGTTTGTTACCTTTGTGCACGGGAAAAAAACTAGAAAATCTTGAACAAATTTCATTGCCTTGCAGGATTTTTTTCTTTTTTGGTATTAATGAGTTCACTTAAAGAATGGTTTAATGCGGCTGTTATAGGGGAAGAATTTAATGAAATCAAATATAATGACTTGAAAGAGCTCGTTTTTATTGACCGTGGAGGTTTCGGAGAAGTCTATTCAGCAAATTGTGTTTCTATTAACAATACTGTTGCAGTAAAAAAGGTCTTTCAATCATATCTTGAGAAACAAGACGTATTTGATGCTTTTATTAAAGAAGTATGTTTTGAAATGAATCATTTAATAATTTCTTGCAAGCTAGAAATTTTTATCAGATAAAATTTTCTAATTTTCTATTCTAGCTAAAATTACATAGGAAACTTGGTGATAATAACAGAATAATCAATTTTCTTGGTATCAGCAAAGGTTAGTCATATTATTTAAAAACTTCTAATACAGTCAGATCTCGATATATAATCACTCTTGATATAATCAAAATTATAAATAAATAAAAACTCTATGTTCATTTTACATTAGATTTTGGTTATCAACCTTGTGATTATATCAAGGTTAGACTGTAGTTTAAAGAACCTACTTATAATAAAGTCTATTCTAGACCCAAATGATGGAAGTCACTTAATTGTGATGGAATTTGCTGATAGCGGCAGTTTACAGCAGTTTTTAAATAAAGAGGGATACAATTTACAATGGACTGAGAAGCTTTCTCTTGCTCAACAGTTAGCTGAAGGAGTAGCTTACATTCATAAAAAGAAAATAGTACACCGTGACCTTGTACGTCTTTTTATTCTTATTTATTAAATAATGCTCTGTGGCTAAAATCTCTTCATATTTGATGTTAGCATGACAAAAACATTTTAATTCATCGGAGACAAATCAAAATTGCAGATTTTGGTATATCAAAAAACCTTAACAGCATACTTACCACTCAAGCACCTCTAGGTAGAGTGCCGTATGTAGAACCGAAGGCTATTGCCAATCATAGTTATAAAAAGGATCAGCGGTCAGACGTTTATAGTTTCGGAGTACTGTTATGGGAGATATCTAGTTGCCGTTCACCATTCAACGGCTATCATGATCATATTGAAATTTGTGCATGTATTTTGAAAGGTGCTCGGGAATCCCCAATTTCCAATACGCCTATCAAATATATGAAACTCTATAAAAGATGTTGGGAGACAGAACCAGAATTGAGACCAGATATTAGCGAAATTGTAGTTCGTCTAAGCACGATGCGCTTGGAGCCAGTATATAACCCATCGTTACCGGTAAACAAGGGAAGTGTGAAAACACCTCCGCAACCTACAAGTAAGATACTTTCGAATTAAAATTTCTTAAATTATTTAACTTATTAATTAACACATTATAGATATGGGACATCATTCGACATTGATTTTTGATGAAAATCTTGCGATTCCATTAACATCGAATAAAGAAACATCTCCAGATTATGGTAATTGCAAACGTTGTGAACAAAAATTCACCGATGTCGAATGGTGCAAAAATTGTGAATGTGAAAGTTTTCGGAGAAATTTTGACTATTGGACGAGTGGCAATAAACAGCTTAATGAATTAATTAAGAAATCACAACTTGAGGCAACTCACGTGTCTAATTATATTGAATGGATAGAAAACGATCAACTAGAAGATATGGAAAACATTGTAAAAGGAAGATTTTCCACAATTAACACAGCAATATGGCGCAATGGTCCCCGTGAAGTTTGGGATGAAGAAACGGGTCAATGGGAAAGAGCTTCTAAAACTAAAGTGGCCATAAAGTATTTAAAAGCGTCTGGTTCGGACTTTCAACCGTTTTTGAATGAAGTAAGTTTAATTTAACCATAATTTTGGCATTTCGATTTTTTTTTCAAAAATGCTAAACATTTTGTATATTCAGGTTAAATTACATGTATGTTGTGATAAGGTTATTCGATGCTATGGAATCACAAAAGATTATCAAACTGGTGAATACGGATTAGTTCAAAAGTATGCAAGTTATGGCTGTTTACGTTCTTTTATAAATGAAAGAGGTCTCATCGGATGGTTGCAAAAATTGAAGATACTAGAAGGAATTATTCTGGGTCTGAATCAGATTCATCTAAGAGCTGGCTATTGCCATCGGGATCTACATTCAGGAAACATTCTAATCGACCAGGATGAATTAAGTGTATCAGTATTAAGCTCATTTATTACTGATTTCGGACTTTCTACCCCCGTTGACACTTATTCTGGAGCTATCAAAATTTACGGTGTGCTCCCATATATAGCACCGGAAGTTTTAACAGGACGTCCATATACTCGGGCAGCTGATATTTATAGTTTTGGTATAATAATGTTTGAGTTAACATCCCAAAATCCTCCATTCTATGATGCGGATTATGATTTAAGCTTGGCAACCAGAATAGTGAAAGGACAGCGTCCTAAAGTTGTCACTGGTACCCCGAAATGCTATGTCGATGTCATGACCAGGTGTTGGGACGCTGATCCATTAAAACGACCATCTAGTACCGAATTATTGGGGATAATTACAGCATGGAACAATCGTTCTAGGAATAAAGACCAATTTGATTCTGCTAATAAAAAAGTCCAGGGATTCAACAAATTTCCACTTACTATGAATGACCAACTTTATTACACATCTAAAGCACTTTCAACTAAACTAATTTCAAAATTAAAGCATCAAAGTATTAAATATGAATCTATTGAGTATAAGTTTGATCAAAATTATCATATAGTAAAAGGTGATAATACTGGTTAGTGATCGTCAAGAACAATATTTTTATACATCTAAAACAACTTAACTAAACTATTTCGATGTTAGAGCTTCAAAGTGATAAAGATGATCCCATTGCAAAAAGTGAGTAATTATTATGGACTACACTTATTTATCGACAAAACCATAGCTGACATCAAAATTCCGAATTGCATCGTTGTGGAATCGTATTGCATTATATTACAGTATTGCTATATCGACAATTAATGCGGCAATGCATATTGTAAACTAATTTTGATGTCAGCTATAGGTCAAGCCGACAATTAAAAGTCGGTTCGACTTAATCGATTATTCTATTTTCTGATCTCTAATTTTACCATCAAATTTCAACATAAGACAAAGACCATCCTACAGTAATAAATGGTGATATTGATGATAATAACGGTTTTGTTGGTAAGTAGTGAATGATCATTGAGAAGTACGTATAATAATATTATTTATTTAACTCAATCTTAACTGAACTATCTTAGTAATAGAGCATAAAAGTGATGAAGATGAAGATTTTATTGTGGTAGAAGATGATTTTACCAATTCGAGTAGTAGTTATGCTATTTATTGACAAACTCAATAACTAAGATTTTGATTTGATCAATCATTTTAATTTTACTAACTAATATGATTTTCAAATTATTTTTGTAATTGTCTTAATATTATTTGGAGATATGGTTTTTGTTTAATAACTTTTTTATTTATTTTTCATATGGGTGACGCTAGGGTGATTATAAAATTGGTAAATCAAATTATAAATAGAGTTACATTATTATTTATTATTGAGAATTTTTTTATTGGTTATTTTTTAATAATTTCGAAAATTTTTGTAATAATTTTTGTATAGATTTTGCAAGTATGTTCAATGAGACTAATTGGACAAGTAATATTAAGGTTTTTATTAAATATGTTGCACTTTGAAATAGGATATATTCTACTGTATTTTTATTGTTTAGTAATGGTTGAACAAAGTTGTTAGAGTTTTAATATAAATAATGTTTGTATATTTAAGCATTTCATAGTTAATGTCTATAAGGTTACAGGCTTTTTCATTAGGGAGTTTTGTTAAGATTTGAAGTATTTTTTCTTTTATAATAGGAAGGATAAGAAAGTTATATTACTAAGTATTAATATATATATGTTTGAGATTAGTATTATGTAAACCAAACATTATTAAAAAGATGTTAATCAATTAGTTAATAGATTGTCTAGTTATGAAATAAGATTATACAGTATATATTGTTTAATAAGAATTAGAGAAATAAATAAAAAGTTAATAATAATTAAGAATGTTATTAGTAATTTGTTTAGGATTTGTTAAAAATAATTTATATTTTTTTTATAACCTGCTAAATTTATTGTTAAAATAGTAGAGAATTTTTTATATAGTAAAAATTGCAAAGTTGGTTTCAGATTTCTTGTTTATGTTAGACTTATAAATAAAGTTAAGAACTTTGATAAGAGATAAGAGTTTAAAGATTATAGTAAAATCTTACATTTATAATTTAAATTTTTAATTAATTAAATTAATATCTAAATTATTATTAATATTTTTAATAATTTTTATTAGATGTTAAGTAGTAAATTTAAAATAAAATAGAGTGAAAAGTAAATTAATAATTATAGTTATATTTGTAAGATTTTTTGTTAGAAATAAATATATTGCAGTATAATAATAAAGTATATTGCAATATTAATAATAATGTATATTGCAATATTAATACTAAAAAATATTTTAATGTTTCAGTTTATTTAACTAAACAGAAGGCAAGATAAAGCAGGCTTCTCTAAAGCCTTTTTTAGAATATATTAATAAAATATTTAATTTTATATTAAATAAGTTTTAATAGTTTTATTTGTATTAGTATTAAGAAAAATATAAATTAAGATATATAAAACAAAATTAAAAAATTCTAATTACTTCTTAGATAATATAGTTTTATAATTAAAATTTTTTTGTCTATTTAACTAATCTTTTTTGAAACTAAAACTTTTTATTCAGTATTATAGAATATAAGAACTTATAGCTAAGGTCTTAATAGAGTTATTTTTATATTAAAGAGAACAACCAGTCATATATATTTTTAATATTTAATTTAAGTAGTTCACCTATAGTTTTATATTAACTTATAAGTAGCAAAAAATTAAAGCAAGAACTAACAAATAAAGACAACTACTTTAATATAAAAAATATAGTAGCAGCATAGTAGAAAACAGATTTAATAAAACAGTAATACTAAAAAAATATATGAAACAATAATTAAAATAAATATAAAAGATCTGACAAGTATAAAAAAGTAAGCAAAAGAAATAAATTATACAAATTAACACCTATTAGCAATGCAAAGTATAAAAAACAAAAAGGTCAAGTAACATCAAAAAAAAATCATTATATCAAAAATATATATAGACAAAAAACTGAAGCAATAGATATAGTATAAATAAAAAAAAACTATAACTAAATACAAGTATAGAAAAAAAGAAAAGACAAAAAAGAAAAAAGAATAAAGAAATCTTAGTTACAAAAATGATAAATATAGTAACTAAAGCAGCAATAGCAAACAACTATATAGATAAAAAAATTAGAGTATTAAAAACAAATATAATACAACAAGACTACAAAGACATAATAACAGCAATTAGAAAATAGAAAAAAAAATAAAAATAAAAAAAAATAAATCTATATAGCAAAATAATAAAAAAACAAAAATAATTTTACAAAAACATTATTAAAATAAAGCTATAGTTATCTTTGAATAAAGATTGTGATGATAAAAAATATATACAGTAAAAATACCAATGTTTAATATACAAATAGTTTATAAAAAGAATGAATAAAGTTTGTTAATAGATTACTAATATTTAATAAACATATTAAAGATTTTTTTTTTTAACTTTAGCAGTCATGCTAGTACTTTATTAGAATTTTTGAACTATACAAATTACATAAAAATTTCCTGATATATAAGTCTAGCATTACTCAGCCACTCAAATGGTATCTAAGTACAATCTGTCAGTTAGAGATAGACTGCTTGTCTGACTGCTGCTCTACAATAGAACATCACCAATCTGATAATATTTTTTTATAGAAAAGCAAAAAACAAAAAAAATTTTTATATAAAAAACAAAACAGAGGTATAAGAGTAAATGATAAAAGATACAAATCAAGAAATAAAAGAAGAAAGAGAAAAAACAAGAAAAAAGAAAATGTATGAAACTTGCAATTTACAAATATCAGACAGTCACAATTGTATGCCTATATTAGGCCTTTAAAAATTATAAACTATACTAAATAGAAATAACTCTACTATTTTCTATTTACTTAGATTATTTAACAAAAAATCATGTAAGAAAGAAAAAATCTTCAACTTGATCATAAATTAGTCTAGAGACAATATTTTTAGGTTTTTAGTATTTCGAAGCATGTGTATAGTTGTGTTTGTATTATTGTATTGTTTCTGATTTATATTATCAATAAACCTATTTAGGAAGTAAATACTGCTATCTGTTTTGGTAGCTTTATATGTTAATCTTTAGAAAAGGATAAGCTAAATTATTTACTTTTACAAAATTTTCTCAAAACAAAGTAAAGGCAAAAGATGAACCAACTTTGTAGCATTTATGAGTTCTTGACCATTATAGATATTCCTTGTAGGTTTTACAGTTGTATAGAACTAATATATTTAACTTTGTTGTTTACTTGATAAAAAACTTTTGGCTTTTATTAACTACCTATTCTATAGTCTCAAAGCATATTTAAACTATTATCACAAAGCTACAATTTTTTTTTTTTTAATATTAAGGTAACCTCTTTGGTCATTTGACTTTTATTAATTACTTATCAGTATTGTGGTTCAATGAACCACTACAGGAAAGCATACAATTGGCTACACATGTAACTTTTCTATATTATCTATTTAAGGAGTCTGCCTGAAGATTCCCTACCAATTGCTATACCTAACACCCCTGCTTGGATGTTTCACTTTAAACCCTCTGAACCTGTAACCTGTGTTAACATCACTGGTCATCTCAGATATACCAGATCATCGTCTTCAACCTTAGGACTAATTTATCCTTGAGGTAAACCCTTCAAAGCCTTCTGTACCCATTTTTACAGCTGACCTAGGTAT